ACTCCTCTTAGAAAACACTTGAGCTGTTGCTCAAGAAGTAAAGTATGAGCTTTGAGCAAAAAAGCTGAAAGACAGTGACCAGGCTCTTAGTTCTTTCTTTTTTTTTCTTTTTTTTTTCTTTTTCTACTGTTCAGCCATTTCATATAGAAGGAAGGCACTTCAGAACCCTCCCCCTTCAGATCATGGCAACTTTAATGTATCCCATAAGCATAGCCACTAAAGTCTATGTTTAGGAGAAAATGTGGTAGTCAAATGGGAAGCCAGCCTCTTAGTTCAAACCCCAATACCAGCACACAGCACACATACACACACCCCACTTAATTTTAAGTTTACTTTTGTCTTGTTGAAGCTTGATGGTTGCTAGTTTAATATAATGTTCTTGAAGTAGCAAAATTTTGGTCTAACACGCTGAAGGGCTGTATTCTAAACTTCTACATAACAATTTTAAGGTAGGATTATGTGTTTTACTGTAGTCTTTGCCACTAGCTTTGGAGTCCCTTTTCTCTGTTCTCACCTCTGGGAGCACATAGGAGGCTGCAGAAATCAGGAGGTAAGAGGCAGGGACCCCAGCTCGGACTAGAGAACGGAGCATGAGCCTTCCCTCTAGCCTGGGTCGGCTGTCCACCACTACCACCCGAAACTGTCGACCCTTTTTCCAAGCCTCTTGAAGAATTCGTGATACCAAAGATGAGCTAGAGTGGATGGAGAGGAAACTCAAGTTATAAAAGGCACTAAGTGGTGGCCAGCCCATTTGTAAAGGCCAATGGGTAATCCTTTCCATCATTCACCACCCAGGTTTTCTCAGTTTTCCTTTGGAGCGTACCATCCATATACCAGGATTACATCTCCATTACTGATCTTCTTGTAGGCAAAACGTGAAATTGCCTGAGCTGCAAGCACAATCTTCTCTTGAACATACCGATCAATGGCTGATCCAAGTTCTGACTTAGCCTAAATGGAATAAGGTATTTAGGGACTAGGAAATGGAATATTGCTTCCTGTAGTCATGCCAAATGCTTGAGCGTATGTATAATGATGGGCATGAAGGGGCATGACACAAGTCAAAAGTGTCCAACCATTTCCCTACCCAGTGACTAGGGTAGAGTGGTATGTGTTGGTCTTCCTGAAAGTTATGAATGTGTTACTTAACCCTAACCATAGGTGCCTCTCCCATTCCTCCTCAGCTTCATCACCTCCTCTTCCCGCTTGGAGCTGCTCACACCAGTGATTTCCTTGTTAAGAAACTTGATGGCATTGCACATGCTTGCTGACAGGGGGCGGCACTGAGTCAGGAAGCTGCAACAAACAATACCTCATGTTTTGTGCAACTAGTTAGCTTTCAAAAGTGGTCACATTTTTTTCTTTTTTTTTGGGGGGTCCAGTCGTGGGGCCTGAACTCTGGGCCTGGGTGCTGTCCCTCAGCTCTTCAGCTCAAGGCTAGCACTCTACCACTTGAGCCACAGCACCACTTCCAGCTTTTTTCTTTTTGCTTATGTGGTGCTGAGGAATCGAACCCAGGGCCTCAGGCATGCAAGGCAAGCGCACTACCACTGAGCCACCTTCCCAGCCCTGGTCACATTTTCTTTAGAAAGAAAATGGAACAGAAAAATGAAAAGAGTAGAAAGGAAAGAAACAGTAGCAGAAAAGGACTGACTATACAGGGGAGATTTGTAGTGTTTATTTACCTGATATAGGGTTTTAGTTTATTCACAAGATCCCTTGAGAGTTCCTCATTGGGAGGCGTTGTGTAATCTTGAATTACCTACAAAGTACCCAGGTTGATCAGCAAAATATCCCTCAATGAAGGTCTCTGAAAGGGGATTGTAGGAGGGGGGCAAGCTTGACTGGGGAGTGTTTCTGAGTCATTCCCTCTTTGCCCCAGAGATCACCTTGGATAAAAAGGTTGTGACAGTGTGGGAGGAAATGGGGTAGGGGATTAGAAAACAGATAAGACATACCTGCTGCAAGGCACGAAGCAAGGCAATGCACCGGGCATTGGAGCCACTGACCAGGCCCTGGGAGTACTGCAGGCCGAGTCGCACCATGGCTGGGTGGATCACAGAGGATGGGATGCTGATGGGATGGCGGTGTCACATTCTTTGCAAGGGAACTTGAGCACCTACAGCTCCCTGCCTCTTATGAAAAGGAACTTCCTTTACTAGCACAGGGTCCCAGTTCCTATATAGTATCTTTAATGTACACTTCTTCCCACAGATCCCATCACAAATTTCTGCTTATTTACTTATTTATTTATGGCAGTACTGGGATTTGAACTCAGGGCTTCACACTTAATAGGCCATCATTCTATCACTGAGCCACACTTCTAGGCCCATTTACTTTTTTTTCTTTCATTCTGCCCCAGGGGCTTGAACTCAGTGCTTCAAGTTTAGTTGACTTGCTTGCTCACAACTGGAGCCATACCTCCAGCCTTGCTTTTTGCTAGTTAACTGGAGGTAGAGTCTCATGGAGTTTTCTGGGATGGCTTCAAATTCTCTGGGTCTCAGACTCCTGAATAGCTAGGATTTATGGCATGAACCACCCTCACATGCTCTCCAGTCTTTTTTTTTTTCTGGTCCTGGGACTTGAACTCTGGGGCTGGGTGCTGTCCCTGAGCTTCTTTTGCTCAAGGCTATCACTCTACCACTTGAGCCACAGCATCACCTCAGCTTTTTTGAGTAGTTTATTGGAGATAAGAGTCTCACAGACTTTTCTGCCCAGGCTGGCTTCAAACCAGGATCCTCAGATCTCAGCTTTCTGAGTAGCTAGAATTACAGGTGTTAGGCTTCTCCATTCACTTTTAACATTGAGCTATTCAATTGCTTCAGACTTAAAAGTTATGGCAATTTTCATAAAATCTTACCTCATATACTGTGTCAGGGAGTTTTGTCTGCTATACTGGGGTAGGTGGGAGAAGAGACTGACTTTGGATCCATAATCCTTTCGTGTAGGAACCTTGACAAAATAAGGAAATAGGAACAGGCCTAGAATTTAAAATTTATGAAACAAAGCTGGAAATGAAGTGAATAGTAATATTTGACCCACATAATCATCCTTACTTTGCCCTGAACAGTTTCCCTCTCACTAGCCCATTTCCCTAGGCTCTTTGTGGCCAACTACAAATCCACTTCCTACCTGTTGTCGCTCTGGTTTTTTAACAAGTCTCCTCAGAAGTGTAGGCTCATCAACCTGAATATGTTCAGGGAGACGCTTCACTCCTGAAAGACATTGGTTATATTTTCAAACCACTGTGGGTCTTGAAATGGCTAATATGCTCATAGGGCATCAAGGAAGATAGGGTAGGGAAAACAGCCAGGGAACATAGGATCAAAGAAGGAACAGGGAGTAAGGATAGGACAGAAAAATATTGAACTCTGACTCCTGAGGTAAGAACAGGAAGGAAAAACGATTTTGGTATGTGGAAGCCTAAGTGGGTACAAGAATTAGTAGCAACAGAGGGTTTGAAATAAAAATACCTGAAGAGGTTTCTCCAGCTGTGCTGGGGCAGTTCTGAGGTGGCCCTCCTTGCTCCCCCTTTCTTGCCTGTTTCAGGGCCCGCTCTGCCTCCTGTTTGGCCCGTCGCTCAGCACGAAGTTCAGCCTTACTGCGACCAGCTGGAACTTTCTCCCCCTGAGTGGCCCCTAAATGACTGGCAGGTACTGGTAGTTCTCTGGTTGGACCTACTAAAGGTAGAAGAAAGAGGTGCTCAAGGGCTAGGCAGTTGATATATGCAAAAGCCAGAGCTTCTGTCTTGGTTTATCTAAACTTGTTTACATTTCACCTGCTCAAATCAACTCTTCTGTCTCCCTTACCACAGCCCTCTACCAGCACCACCCTCGAGCTCTTTAAAGAGCCCCTCACCTTGATTTTGGGCTGCAGAAATAGCAGAGCCAGTTTCTGATTCTGCCCCCTTTTCCTCCTTCCTTTTCTTCTTCTGCTGTTTCTTTTCCTTCCGAAGTTGCAGCTTCTCTTCTTGGGTCATTTCCCTACCCCCTGCCTGAGACATAGACATTGGACACTGCACTTTTCTCAATAATTCCAAGTCAATCAACAGTATTGGATGCTTGTAAGATTCCCATAAGGTTAAGTCTCTAATCATCTCTAACGTCAAGGCAAATGAGACAAGCCTACACCCCACAAAGGCAGAAGCTTCTCCTCCAGGGTTACATACCGTTAGGCTCTAGAATCTTCTGGCTTTATGGACACATTCAATGAAACATGATGGGGAGATGGAACAGAATGAAACTGACACAGCACCCAGAGTGGTACTTGACAGGCAATTTGGAAGACAGATCTCTCTCACTTACCCCAGGCCGGGGGGAAAGCTCCGCTTTCATCCCGGATCCCGAATCTGTATCAGAAAATAGGGCACAAAGTGACCCAGAGAGGCTCCGGGAGGATCTGGGGGCACTCGTCCTCCTCGCGGCCGGCTGCTGGGCAGGCATGACCACAGCTCGGCCTGCAGACGCCAGCTGACCCGGGACCGCGTGGGGACGCGCTGTGCGGCAGGATCAAAGGACAGGAGGGGGAGGGGGCCCCCACCCTCCTCCCGGGAACAGCCGGCACGCAGCGCGGGGCTGCGCCCGAGACTGTATGAAGTGCAGTGCGGCGAGGCGCGGGATGGAAGGAACCACAGGGCCCGCAGGAGCTCAGGGCCCAGCCCCGGCCGGCCGGGGCACGTCGGGCTCGCGTACCAGTTGGTGCGCCCGTCCCTTCACTCACCCTCACGAACAGCCACAGCCACCGCAGCCATCGCTCTCCGTCCTAGGCTCCTCCCGCCGTGGTCAGGAAACCGACAGGGGCGACAGCGCCACCTGGGCCAGAGGCTCCGCCGCCCATACTCGCGGCGTGCAGTCGCGAGAGAACTACAACTTCCGGCCTGCACTGGGCCCCGCCCCCGAGCTACGGGTTGCTGTGAGGGTCCTTTCAGCTTTGGGTTCCCGTACTGGACGGGCTCCTCCTGCCCTTTCAACTACACTTCCCAGCATGCTGGAGTTGCAGCTTCCAGAGTCTACGTCCTACCGCCTTCCCACCTCCGAGCTCAGGCCCCCAAAATGGCGAGTGCAGCTACGGGGACGCGCTGAACGGCAGAGGCGAGCGTGCAGAGCCGCGGCGGCCCGCAGTCTGGAACCTGGCTGGGCCTTGCCACAGGGAACATGCACTTTTCCATTCCTGAGACCGAGTCCCGCAGCGGGGACAGCGGCGGCTCCGCCTACGTGGTGAGGAGCGGCCGGAGTTGGGCCGGGCGGGGATAACGGGCTGGAGGCTGCGGAGCCGTCTCCGAGGCCGAGCCACCACCCTTGGGCCCTGAGCCTGGGGACCTCGCTGGGAGCATATCTCGTGTCCGTTTTTGGTAAAGATTTGCCCCAGGTCTAATTGATACTTTGTTGTGCCGGCCGCCTCCTCCTGGTGGGCAGCACTGCCCTCTCGGGGAAGGAGACTGCGGCACAAGTGGCCAGTTTTTCCTTGGGTGGCCCTTCTGCTTTGGGACCTCACCCTGGGGAAAACTAATTAAAACCCAGTAGATCTCAGGGCAGGACATAAATAGAGCTGTCTTAGATTACTTCCTGCCACGGTTCTGGGGCGGGTGGTATACGATCTGCGACCCTGAAATACCTGTTTTGTGTCCTCAGGCCTATAATATTCACGTGAATGGAGTCCTGCACTGCCGGGTGCGCTACAGCCAGCTCCTGGGCCTGCACGAGCAGGTGGGACTAGCAGCTCTGTCTGGAGGCAGCTTCAAACCCTTTCCTACCGTGGGCATCTCCCAGTCCCTCTGGCGGAGTTCACTCTTTAGTCACTGCTACGAAGAGAATGTACACTCTTATCTGATATTTCTAGGCACTCTCTGTGCAGTTTTAACCACAGCTCCTCCCTTTGCTTAATCCTCCTTCCTGCTTTTCTGGTCCTTTTAACTGCTCTTTCAACCATTGCTCCTGCGGGGGGGGGGGGGGGGGGGGGGGGGGGGGAGGGGAACCTCTCCTGTCTGCCAAAGCACAGTCTGTCATCTAAGCTGCAATTTAAAAATTCCTTTTCCCAGCTTATACAGGCAATTTGCCGGTTTCCTTTGGTCCATTTTAGTGTGTGCAGTTGTTCCTTTGGTCGTTATGTATTAGTGCTGTAATTATTTTCTGCCTTCCTTACCAGATGAACTCAGTAGTTGTTACTACTAATAGTTGTACAACTCTGCATAACTAATAGTAACCTAATTTCTTTGGGCTTCAGTTTCTGCAACTGAAAAAAAAATGGATTCCTTGACCAGCAAAATCCCTTCAAGTTTCTAAGATAATAATTTTTATTATTTGTGTGCATAGATGTTATTTTTAAAGCCCTATGCTTCCTGTGAGGGTTCCTTGAAGTCTTACTAGAGAGGGGGGCTGGCTTGTACACTCCAGTATGTGAGAGCAATATCTAAGATTGCTCCCTTGAGACTTTAACTCTTGATAATATGGGAAATAATCAGAGTAGATAGGGAGGATCAAGATGATATAGTCTCAATCGTCTCATTTTCTATGTTTAGATGAACAGCTCTATCTCTTTCTCTACATAGCTCCGGAAGGAGTATGGGGCCAATGTGCTTCCTGCATTCCCCCCAAAGAAGCTTTTCTCTCTGACGCCTGCAGAGGTAGAACAGAGGAGAGAGCAGTTAGAGAAGTACATGCAAGCTGGTAAGTAGTTGGAGGAAATTTAGTCTATTTTAAGGACCATGGGAAGAGATTAAAAGCAGCTGACTCTATAGAAGGCCTTACATTAATTTCTAGGTCTGGGAAGGCTCTAATCTGCTATTTAATTAGCAAAGTAAATAGCTTTCAAGGATTTTTAACTCTATACTAGCAAAGCAACTGGGCACTAACATCTATGGGAAATATTAGCATGACAGTAGTCAATTTAGATTGGTGGGGAGCTTACTTTGTATCTGATGTGCTTTAGATTAACATCACTGTTGTTTCCCTAGTTCTATAGACTGGACTCAACTAGATGGCAGCGAAGGGTGGGGCAGGTGAAGAATTTATGCAAACAGTGAGTGAGGTGAGGCCAGCGGGGGGGATGTGGCAGGCCACCATCAGCCCAGGAAATGGGGTCGGGGGGAATCTATTAAGAGGAGGACTGGGGGAAGCCAAAAGTGAGTTCCAAATTACTAAACATTCTCTCATCCCCACAGTTCGGCAAGACCCATTGCTTGGGAGCAGTGAAACCTTCAATAGTTTCCTGCGTCGGGCCCAACAGGTAAGGCTGTGGGTGGAACCCGGATTTAAGAGAAGAAACTGCTGGAGAGCCATGCTATTTTAATGATGTGGTTATATATATTAATTTTTTATTTTTTGGTGCCATTCCTGTGGTTGAACTCAGAGCCTGGACACTGACCCTTAGCTTTTTTGCTCTACCATTTGAGCCACAGCTTTACTTCTAACTTTCTTGCTAGTTAATTGTCTCATGGACTTTCCTGCCCCAACTGACTTCAAATCATGATCCTGAGATCTCAGTCTTCTGAGTAGCTAGGATTACAGGTGTAAGCTATTGTTTTCTGAGTAGCTAGGATTACAGGTGTAAGCCATTGACACCAAGCCCCTTTTTTTTTTTTTTTTTTTTTGGTATGGAGCATCTGTAACACTGAGGTCAAGAAAAAATCTTAGCCTATATTTGAGAGACCTACAAATGGAAAGTCTGGATAGCTCAGAAGTGGTTGTTGGTTAACAAGAGGTAGACCAGGTATTAACAAGCCAGTGCTGTCCATTCCCATCTGCTCACATAGGAGACACAGCAGGTCCCTACAGAGGAAGTCTCCTTGGAAGTGCTGCTTAGTAATGGGCAGAAAGTTCTGGTGAATGTGCTAACTTCAGATCAGACTGAAGATGTCCTGGAGGTGAGGCTTGTTCACCATCGCCCCTCTGCCCCCTGTACCCCAGAGCCTCAGCTAGGGCAAGACTAGAACCAGCCAGTAAGATGAGCTATATTTCCTGTCTCTAGGCTGTGGCTGCAAAGTTGGATCTTCCAGATGACTTAATTGGATATTTTAGTCTCTTCCTTGTTCGAGTAAAAGAGGATGGTGCATTTTCCTGTGAGTTTCTCTAGGCTTTACAGCTTTTATCTCCCAGCTCCCCTACAAATGGAACATTTCCTCCTCAGGGCGTTTCTTAGTTTCTGTTCCTTCAAGCCTTATTATATTTCCCTTTTGTTTTTAACCCATAGTTGTACGGAAATTGCAGGAGTTTGAGCTGCCGTATGTGTCTGTTACCAGTCTTCGGAGTCAAGAGTATAAGATTGTACTAAGGAAGAGGTCAGGGCTGGGCCTGAAAAAGTGGGAGGGTGCTGGGTTGGGTTATTGGGCCATAGATTAAGACAGAATAATATGGATGTGAGTAGTGCTGGGTGTTTCTACCAGGCCTCCCACATTTCTTCTCACTGTAGTCCAGTAGTCCCAGATTGCTCCTGTTTTGCCCCTTTCCCATTCTACTTCCTGCCTCACCCGAGCTTAGCCCTATTACCCCTTTCCACCCCTTGGCCTCACAGTTATTGGGACTCTGCCTATGATGACGATGTCATGGAGAACCGGGTTGGCCTGAACCTGCTTTATGCTCAGGTGAGCTTGGAGCTGCCTCAGAACCCTTGCCCTGAAAATGACTCTGGTGTCCCACAGTGCCAAGAAAAGACCTTTTATGTTTTGTTCCCAGTTCATGGGGAAATTCCTAGAATACTGTCAGGACTTCTAGTATCTATACTCTCCCTACTTTATAACCTAATAAGGTCAAGTTCTCAATGCAGAAATCTTTCATGTATGGGGCCAGAGTCAGGCTGGACAAAGCTAACTGTAGATACATTGGGCACTCCACCTCCTACTCTTGTCTCTATTGTAGACTGTGTCAGATATTGAGCATGGGTGGATCCTGGTCACCAAAGAGCAGCATCGGCAGCTCAAATCTCTGCAAGAGAAGGTCTCCAAGAAGGAGGTGAACTTTGCCTTGCTGTCTTCAAGGGGTTGCCAGTTCTGACTTGCCCCACTCCCCCCTCCTAACCCACCACACATGGACGTTTTTCAGTTCCTGCGGCTGGCTCAAACCTTGCGGCACTATGGCTACCTACGCTTTGATGCCTGTGTAGCTGACTTCCCAGAGAAGGACTGTCCTGTGGTGGTCAGTGCAGGCAACAGTGAGCTCAGCCTGCAGCTCCGCCTGCCTGGCCAGCAACTCCGTGAAGGCTCATTCCGGGTCACCCGCATGCGATGCTGGCGGGTCACCTCCTCTGTGAGTTGGAATGGGAGGGGAGCCTTACTAAGGGACCTGGCAAGCCGAGTTAGAACAAACTCAGCCTAAGTTCCTGTCATCTCTCAGGTGCCATTGCCCAACGGAGGCACAAGCAGCCCAGGCCGGGGCCGGGGTGAAGTGCGCCTGGAACTGGCTTTTGAATACCTCATGAGCAAAGACCGGCTACAGTGGGTCACCATCACTAGTCCTCAGGTGGGCACCCACACTCAAGGCTCCTTCTGGGAGGCTGGGGCTTCCGGGACTCCATGCGAGTGGGAGCCCGTTTAGGGAGCTGTGACCTAAGGTGACCACTGTAGTGGACTGAGCTGTCTTATCCTCAGGCTATCATGATGAGCATCTGCTTACAGTCCATGGTGGATGAACTGATGGTGAAGAAATCTGGCGGCAGTATCAGGAAGGTCAGCAGCAGGCCAGGACTGCTGAGTAGCTACATTCTCCTGGCTTTTTGTCCCAGGGATGAGGCTTCTTCAGTGGGAGGGAAGTATTTGGGATCCTGAAGGGAGAAATCTTGCCTCATCTGCACTTTGTGTCTGTTCTCAGATGTTGCGTCGGAGGGTGGGGGGCACTCTGAGACGCTCAGACAGCCAGCAAGCAGTGAAGTCCCCACCCCTACTTGTAAGTATTATCCTCAGCTGCTACTCTAGTTCCCAGCCTTGCCTCATCTTCCCTAGTGTCTGACCTGCCTCCTCTTTCCCAGGAGTCACCTGATGCGAGCCGGGAATCCATGGTCAAACTCTCAGTGAGTTAGTTCCAGGGTCAGGGAGGTTGATGTCTGTTAAGGGCCTCACTGACTTGAGCCCTCTGACCCTCACTCTGCCTTTTTTTTTTTTTTTTAACAGAGTAAGCTGAGTGCTGTGAGCTTACGCGGGATTGGCAGTCCCAGTACCGATGCCAGTGCCGGTGATGTCCATGGCAATTTCGCCTTCGAGGGCATTGGAGATGAGGATCTGTAAACTGCACTGTTTGGATATCTGTCCTCTAACCCAGAGGAAATTTACAGAAACTTGCCCTGTGCCTGTGCTCTAAGTTAGGGGAAGTCTTTTCCTTCCCCCTTTCTCCTCTCCCTTTTTCCTCTTGGCCAGGGGCCTCTAACCTACCTTTCCTTCCTCACTGGGCTGGCTACACAAAGGATTGCCACCCCTCCCCCACTCTTTTCAGAGCTGGCCCTTGATGCCAAATTAGCATTTAGTATTTTGCACAAAGTCCAAGGGACCATAGCTACCTGTCTTGGGAAGGAACCACAGCTACCCCCTGTGCTGCTTCTGGCTTCTTGGGGGTCTGTGTATGGTCTGGCCCAGTTCTTCCGTCATTAAACTCAGCCTGACTGCTGTCTACGTACCTCTGATTCCCTCTCACTGCCCATCATAGCATGGGCTGATGTGCTAAGGGTAAGGCCTGATTCTCTTTGCCATTGCCAATTCAGTAGACATGGCTTTGTTAGTGTTTCCTTTATTATAAAGCACTGAAATAAGTTAAATAAACAGGTGGGAGGCTGGGCAGTCCCCCAGCCACTTCATCCACTGCCCCTGGGAGCAGTGGAGGCGAATACAAGGCCCTTCTCACTGAGCTCATAATATGCATGAGCCAAGGCAAAGCCCCCTTGGTCCATATGGGCCCCTGCCCATGAGGTTTGGGCTGGTCCGTATAGTGCCTAGGTTAGTCTGTGTGGAGCCCCTGGCCAGCGGGGGAAAAAGGAAAAGGTGGCTTTCTAGTCCATCTGTATAAAATGCAGGAAAAGCAGGGCTAATTCATAGGGCCCTGGGGAAGAAGGACTCTAGTTCAAGGCGAGTCAGTATGGAGAGCCCGGCTGCCCGTGGCACCCAGGGCTGTTGAACCCCGAGTGCTCAAAACAGTGGGTGGGCTGTGAGGTGGGGCCCAGCCCTCAGGAGCAGAGAGACCAGGCCCTCCTGCCCCACCATGGCCATGCACCTTCTGGTGACGCTTGTAGTTGTCCCAGTGGCCTGTGGTATATGCGCAGGTGGCACAGCGGAAGGGCTTCTCGCCTGTATGTCGCAGCATGTGGCGTTTGAGGTTCATGCTCTGGTTGCAGCTGTAGTTGCAAAGGCTACACCGAAAAGGTTTGTCACCAGAGTGGATGCGACCATGACGCTTGAGGTTGGCCAGGTTGCCACAGGCATAGGGGCAGAGGGGGCACTTGTAGGGCTTCTCTCCAGTATGGACACGTTGGTGCCGTTTCAGATTATCCAGATGAGCCGAGGCATAAGGACAGCGGGCACAGCGGAAGGGTTTCTCACCACTATGTGTCTTCATGTGCCGGGCCAGGTGGTTGGGATAGTGAGTGGCAAAGGGACAGAGACTACAGGCAAAGCCCTTGTCACTGGGGCCCTGAGGCCCACCACTAGCACCCCCTCCAGCCTCTCCTCTCATGCAGCGCCCACACATGGCAGATCCTAGCCGACTACCCTCACCCTCCTCCAGCTCTTGTCCACAGCCCCGGCAAGTCCAAGGGAACAGCAGCTCTGGCAGTGGTTCTGATCCAGTCCCACACAAGCCCTCCCCTTCACCCCGAAGCTGCCCACAGTCTGGCAGGAAACTGGTACCACCTGGTGGTACGTGGAGGCTCAAGTCTGGAAGGAGCAGAGCATCTGTGGGAAAAATGAAACCTGGGATGTTAAACCAAGTATCTGCCTGGTGTTACCCACCCAAGTCCCCCATTGTTAGTCCCTGGTCGTTATTTACCTTCAGGTCGCCGGGGCACTGCCCCCTCCTGCTCTGTGGGACTTGGAGGCCGGGTTGGTCTTGGAGCACAGCAGCGGAAGCCACAGGTCGGGCAGGGTGGAGTGGGGGGCCCGGTGTGGGTGCGCTGATGCCGCCTCAGGTTGCCCAGGCTGCTGCAGGCAAAGGGGCAGTGGGGACAGCGGTAGGGCTTCTCGCCAGTGTGGGTGCGGGTATGTCGTGTCAGGTTGACGAGCTGGGCTGAGGCGTAGGGGCAGCGGCCACAGCGGAACGGCTTCTCCCCGCTGTGTGTCTGCATGTGCCGCTTGAGGTGGCTCGAGTAGTGGGACACGAAGGCGCAGAGGCGGCATGAGTACAGCAGCCGTGGGGGCAACGGGGGCCCCCCACCCGGCCCTCCTGCCCCACAACACGGCCCCTCACCTGTCGGCCCCCCACACAGCTGGCAGGCTGGGCCTGGCCTCTCACCCCTGGCCTCCCCTGGACCCCTGGCTGGCTCCTCAACTTCACTCTCAGCACTTAGTGCTCGGCCGCCCCCAGACTCGTCGTCGCTCAGCCCATAGGGAAGCCCAGGCCTGGCCCCCAGAGAGTCTCCTGCTGAGACAGAAATGAAAAGAGACATCAACACAGTTAAAGACCAGGCTCTAAAATCTCCATTTTTCAACAGCCCACCTTTCTCTTTGTTTTGATGATTCCTATTGTTCCCTCAAAGGAATCTAAGTCTCCCCTATAGTGACAAGAAAATTCAACAAAACTGCCCACCTCTCTCTGAGCAGAGATGAACTACTTAGACTTGGTTCTACTGAATGGAAAACGAGTTCATGATGAGTCGTATGTGAATAATACTGCCATGAATCAAGTGATTTAATTGTTAAGATAAAGTAAAAATTGAAAATGCAGAGAAACTTGAGCCCTTTTTCTAAGCTGTAGGCTCCTTTTGGTTCAACACTGATTATAAAAATAAGACATCCCGGGGCTGGGAAGGTGGCTCAGTGTTAGAGCGCTTGCCTTGCATGCCTGAGGCCCTGGGGTTCAATTCCTCAGCACCACATAAGCAAAAAGAAAAAAGCTGGAAGTGGCGCTGTGGCTCAAGTGGTAGAGGGCTCAACTTGAGCTGAAGAGCTGAGGGAAGCGCCCAAGCCCAGAGTTCAGGCCCTATGACCGGACCCCCCCAAAAAAAATAAAAAAAAAATAAGACATCCCAAGATAATATTTGGAAGTGTGAACAATGAAAGTATTACATGCTATGACTAATGGGCCTATGTTTTATATAGATCCTCTCAGTGACTTTCAAAAACATCCATCAAAAGTGGGTGAGCAGCTGACTTCTGTTGGCTCATGCCTGTAATTCTATTTAGGAGGCTGAGAGATGATAATCAATGCTCAAAGCCAGTCCAGGCAGGAAAGTCCGTGAGACACTGAAGAGTGCCTAAAGTTCAGGGACAGCTCAAGCCCCAGGTTCAGGGCACACACACATGCACACGCGCGCGCGCGCGCACACACACACACACACACACACACACACACACACACACACACACACACACACACACACACACACACACACACACACACACACACTGCATAAGCAGACCAGCAATCAAGGTCGGGTTCTGCTAAAATCACAGGGAAAAAGAATGAAGATAAAGGCAGAAAGTAAAACCACTCCATACAAAAGGGAGCTAAGAGTAGAAATACCTGAACGATTTATACAGAAGGCTTTTCCCTGAACTCTTTGAATGTATACATAACAGAAATGGGCTAGGGATGGGGACAAGGTTATTGAAAGGGCATCTATCTACTTTTTAACCAATTGCTCCATGTGATTTGCCGAACCTTTTACTCGTATACCATCCTTACATCAGGCCTACACTTCATTAAGGCAAAGTGATGGAGCTGATCTAATTAGTATGCAAATGAAATACTGAGCGTCCCATCTAAATCACCCCTAGGTTGTAGCAGCAAGCAGTTTTCTGGTCATTAACGCTAAACCTGGCCTCTCCCCTAAAGGGCTGGTTCTTTGCGACCATTAATCCCTAACTAAGTCCTCCAAACTTACCTTCAGAGTCTCTCTCAAAGCCCATGAGCTGGTCGTTGCTGCCGTCACCTTCTTCCTCTTCCTCCTCCTCCTCTTCCTCCTCAAACTCCAGATCCTGGCCTAGTAGCAAGTCACTCTCCAACACCAGAGCCCCGGGTCCTTCGTCGAGGGAGTCTTCAGTCTCGGCTGAAGAGGGGAGGGGGCTTGTGGATTCTCCCTCCCGAGCCGTGCCCATGATTCGCGTTCGGGAGCCAGCGGCCGTGGACCACACTTCCCGTGCCCGTTGACCCTCTCGGGTTCCCTTAGTACCTCAGTGGGAAGCTGGAGTCCAGTCCACCCACCCCTTCCCTCAGGAGCTCCCCTCCACCCTGACCTGAGCCCACTCCACTGACCCCACCCCTGTTCCTCCCCCCTCAAGGCCCCATGACCCCTGACCTTTGACCCCCTCGCATTTCACGGGCTGCGGGTGGCTTTGCTTCCTCCGGGGCATCGTGACCGGCTCCAGCCCGACGCGCCTCCGGCCCGTGGCCGCCCGGCCCCGCCCCTCCCAGCTCGGCTCGCCCGCCCGCTTCGGCTTTCAGGATCCGCAGGCAGCCCCCATGCAGCGGCGCGGGCCCTGGGCAGCCCCAGGCCCTGGCCCCGGAGCCCAGCTCAGGCCGCTCCCGCCGCCGCCGCCGCTTCCATTCATGGAGCCCCCTACCCCCCCTCCGGAGACCAGCTGGTACCTCCGTCCCCGCTTCCGCTTCCGCCGCCGCGCAGCCGCACGGGACGCGTAGTCCGCGGCATGCAGAACCGCAAGCGCGGCCCCGACGTGACCAGGAAGTGATTGTGATGCTCGCCGAGACACCCAATCAGCGGCCGCACAAACCGGGCCGGCCAGCCAGGAAGTGTGCGCCGCCCCCTCCTAGAGGAACTAGGAAGTCACTCAGAGTCGGAGAGACGATGACCTGGGCCTAGCCGAGTGAACTCGCTGGGGCAGGCTACAATGCCCACTGGCCTCTCTCCTACAGGCACGCAGAATGCACGCGCACACACGCGCACACACACACACACACACACACACACAGGGACTTGCCAGATGCTTCCCGGGCTACCAAGTTGGGGGCCACAGCAGCAGAGAGAAAACGGACACCATGGGCACAATTAGGTTTTGGCCTTTAGTCTGAAAAAGTGTTGATTGAAAGTGTACAACAGAGTGGGCACAAGCGGCTGGGGACCAGGGAGCCGCTAATAAAAAAGAATGTTCTTAAATAAAGTGTTCACAGAGTAAAAACCAGAAACCACCAGTCTTTCCCTCCAACACAACAGAGCACAGGCACAGAACCCACTGGTGATGAGCCCAAAGGAGCGAGGAGGCCGGAGAGGACATCAGAGGCTCCAGGCTGCCGTGTGGAAGGAGAGCGGCCTCTTTGGAATGGGCTGTGGAAAGCCACTCGGCTCTCCCTGCACACCTCATACCCACTGCTAAGGCTAAAGGAAAAAGACAAAATTCAGTCTCAGGTCCGGAGGGCTCAAAAAACAGTCCAGGTGGGCAGGGATCTGGATGACTACTAGTCCCGCTTGGCTTTCTTCTTGTCACTGTTGCCATTTTCTTCAGTCCCCTCATCAGAGGGTGCCTCCTCCAGTTTCCGTTTGCCGCTTTCTGGTTGGAGCTCTGCTGTGTTTCGGGGCTTGAAGCAAATGATGATGCAGGTCATGTTGTCACACCCTGTACCATCCCCAGAAGTATCTGGTGCCAGGCACTGATCCAGCAACTACAAAAAGGATGGGGCAGCTCAGCCACAGAGTTTGAAAACCTTCCTGGAACCTACAGTTCCACAAGAGGGCTAGCTCTGGTAGCCTAGGGTGGTAGAGGGAAGAGGAATGGGCAATGGACTTCAAAAAATAGCCACTAGTGAGCCTGTTACATACACAAGCTAAGTAAGGGATATGAGGGAAGGTAGAACTTTTTAGTCAAGATTTGGTGTCTGTGGATAATTGATAAGCACTACCAGGCTCTGGTTCTAGTTCCAAAGAAAAGACCATGGCTATGCAAACCAAATGCTCTTTCTTCTCAACCCTTAACTCACCTCTTCCACAATGGATGACAATAACCGTAGCTCCCCATTTTCATCACGTTGGCTTATCTTTGATTGAATAAAGTCTACAACTTCCTGGCTGCTCATCACATTCCTGGGGTCAAAAAGAGAAGATCAGACTGTGACCCAAAGTCAATACCTACAGAAAATCTCCTCAGCCTTAGGCTTGGTTTTGACTAAGAGGGTGGCCTTAGTTATAATCAGCAGCTCTGAGTCAAAGAAAAGTAATGCTACAAAAAAGGGCATTTGAGGGTGTTCCACCCAGTGCTCACCAGATGCCGTCACAGGCAATGACCATAAATTCATGGTCATCAGTGAGAGTCAGCACCTTGATGTCAGGAAGGGCAGAAATCATCTGTTCCTCAGGTGGCAGATTCTTATTTCTCTTGTAGAAGTGGTCTCCTGAAGGAAAAGATATGTCAAGTAGTTTGAATACTTCATATAGACTTGTGTTTGGGCCAAGTCAAACCTTACCATTCATTCATTTATTCCTTTTTTTTCCCTTAACAAAATTCCACAAAGCAGTGAAATTGAAAGCTAGGTTCTACTTTGCCTAGTTTCAGCCCTGTCATTAGGTCGCTGAATTTTAAGTAGCTCATCTGTCTTTTTCATCATCCAGGAAACAGAAGACAATGAGACCTATCTTAGCTATGTCACAAGATATTTTAAGAACAGAGGGAGATGATACAAAATTACTTTGAAAGGTACAGGGGCTATGATGATTAAAGACTGTTACTAGATTGTCTGGGACAGACAGCAAAATCCCACGTTTTCCCAGTTTCTTGACCCTTACCAATGGCCCTGGAGAGGTTAAGACCTCCGTTGACTCGTCCATCCATCGTGACCTTGCCACCAGCATTCTTGATGCGTGCTAGCTCCACTTCATCCTCTGGTTTGTGGTCATAGGACATGTCTAAAGCTTTGCCAGCCTCAGATACCACACAGCGAGAGTCTCCTGCGTTGGCTACAATCAACTGCTTCCCTCGTATCAGAGCCACCACTGCTGTTGTTCCACTGTCAGAACCAGGCTTAAGAAGAAGGAAAGGGGAGCCTTGTGGGAGCTCCTGGGCACGAGTGCCTACTTGGTGCACTCCTGACCAGGCATCTATACTAGAGAGCTTTAACAAATGGGAAGAACAGATTTCATCTCTCCACAGACAACAGTGTGGCTCCTACCCTTGTTTTTAGGGTATTGGAGATTAAACCCAGGGCCACTTGAGCTGTGGTCCCAGTTTCCCTCCTTTAGGTAATTCTACCTTTGGTATTACCTTTTTAGGTTAATAAATAAATTCACCTCACTACAATTATAGTACTAAGATATCAAAGGGGTCAATCTCTTAAAAATCAAAATCAGAGGATCCACATCTGTCTCTTGGCTTTTCCAGACTCATTGGTCCTCTTTCCTACACACCTCCTCTTTGCCTTCCATCCCAGGCACCATCATTTCTTCTTCATCATCATCATCCTCTTCAGCCTCCTCAGTATCATCCTCTTCTTCCTCATTCTCTGCCTCTTCACTGCTGTAGCCATCTTCTTCTTCCTCTTCCTCCTCCTCTTCCTCACTGCATTCCTGCCAGAAGGAGGATCCCAGGCTGCTAAGACTGGGATGGCTCCTTGCCCCCAGCCCCAACTCATACTTAGGAGCACAAGAGGCCCTGACTGAACACAGGTCCTCAAAACACTGAAAGATAAAACTATATGATCATGACAATCTGGGAGAGGGGAGAGGGCTAGACTATACATAACTGACACTCTGAACCAGGCTCAGCAGTCACCAACAAGAAGCCCCAAGGAAGGTCAAGGCCATCAGCCAAAAGTATCTTCCAGGCAATGTGACCAGAAATAAATTGTCCAGAGCAGAAAACACCTAAAATAACAGCAACTACCTTCTTGTTCTTTTTCTAGGAGACTGACTCTGAAAAGCCGGAACTAGGATATATCTGTTTCACTATCAACAAAGGAAGAAGACTAATAGTACCTGTGATGGTGAAGATACTGTACTCAAAAGGCTATAGAGTAGAATACAGTAGGTATTGGGGGATGATGATAAAATAGGAGGAAGAGCTGAAAGCTACAGATGGCAACTAAATAGGCCCTCTCTGCAACTTTAGCATCTGCCTGCCCTCACAGGCCCTTACCTCACTGTCTTCCTCTTCCTCATCCGCCTCATCTGACTCATCCTCACTGTCCTCAAAGAACTTGGACTTAGCAACTCGAGGCAGCTTGTCGGAGGCTGAAGAGCAGGAAGGCCCAGCCTCACCAGTGGGAGTGCCAGGCTCTCCAATTGGGCCTGCCTCAATCCCACGTTCCGAGTTGGAGGAAAGGCCTGTGTGGGCCTTGGCTGTAGGGCCATTTTCCTGTGAAGGAGTTTCCCTAGATGGGTCCTCAGGTTCTGCCTCCCCATTGAGGCCCTGGGACCCTGGTTCCTCGCCTGTCCCAGCTCCAGATTTGCTGTGGGGAGGGCCCTTTTGACAGTTCTGCCCGTAGCGTGTCAGCAGCTCTTCAATAGTCATGGTAGCCTCTTCATGCAGCAATGCAGCCTCCTCATTGTCCACTGCAGGGAAGAGGCTAAATCAGAGCCCCCATGCCAGACTCCTCACAGGATCAATCCCTCTCACTGCCTCAACCTCCCCAGCAGCCTGAGTTCCAACTTCCCACAACCTCCCACTCCTACTGCTCCTCTCACTTAGCAAGTCTCAGAAGAACATCCTTTAGCTTCCTTCTCCTCTACAGACCTCCTTTGGTCTTTGTCTTTTGTCCCCTTAAGCCAAAGGAACACTAGTGACTGTATTTCCCCTCTCATCTCTCATTTGGTTTTGTTCAGTTGAAAACTCCTTGCTGAGGACCCAGGAAACCCACATACAATGCCTTAGGATGAGGGTGGTCAATATCTAGCTCTTGGGGCTAATAACTGCTCCAGGCTTGAAAGAAGGTCACAAAAATAACAGCAGGAAACAGGAAGACCCATTCAGATTGACAAATGATAATGTATGCAAAAATTCTTACAACTATGTACTCCAAAATGGTTAATTTCCTCTCTCCTTTCATAACCACATGCAGTGCAGAACACCACAGGGCTCTTTAATATGAGGACTCCCCAGGTCCCTAGGAAGCCACTCTGCCTTAGAACTGATAATAAAATATGATTTCCTCTTGAACATGGGATGCCATACTCACCATCATCTTCATCAGCTACTTTTTCTTTTTCATCCTCATCCTCAGTAGGTCTTCCTGCAATCTGTGCCAACTCCTTAATGACTTCCTCAGTGGTCAGTTTGGCATCAATAGCCAAGAAGGCATCTTCTAAAGCCTGAATATAAACAAAATAGTCTAAGGCAGGTATAGGAAAAAGTGAAGTGGGAACAAAACAAATTGCCTGTATAAAATCCTAAGCACTCTTGTGGAATGCACATTCAGGTGTGGTCAACCACACTAGACAAGATACTCAGAATAGGTAAAACAGTTCAAAGACCTGAGAATAAGGCAGATCTAAAAGGACCTAAGGGAATAAGCTTATTTTAGGCACAGGGTTCTTTAAGAAGAAATGCAGTAAATAAGCAGCAGCTGGGGGCAAAGAGTAAGGAAAAGCCAAGAGTTGAGAAACAAAGGGAAAAACCCACTCAAGGGGAAAGACAGACCTTCTGTAGCTTGCCTTCCTTGTAGGCTTTCTGATCTTTGATGATATCCGGAAGATATTTGGCACAATACAAGGCAACTTCCTCTCCTAGAATAAAAGTTAAGTTATCTAAAGCACTGTTTCCCACACATAAAAATGGATTTACCACCATTTTTCTCAGGAGTAAATAACTACATCCCTTGTGTCTTTTCATAACTATTCTTAGTTTTTGTTTTTTTTAAAAAGATAAATACCAATCTAAGAAAAGGAATTTTATATGAAGACCTAGACAAATTATTCACTAATAAAATGCCTTACTAGAGAGAAAAGGATTGTCAGAGGAAAATATCACTAGGCAGGAAATTAAACACCTGGGCCAGAACTCTGAAAAGTAAAAGAACAAAGGACCTCCTTCCCTAAAAGTCTTGAATTAGGGTCCTCAAATGTTGCCATTATGGTGTGCTAAAGTTACCTCCATGTCCATCGTATACAGAAAACATGGCTGTCTCACTGTCCAGTTCAGGAATACAGTTGTGAGCATCCTATGAAAAAGAGCATAATCATCAGCATCTCAAAGTCAAAGACTATTCCTCCTTGTATATCATATGACATAAAGTACCTTCACATATTTTTATCATAAACCTTTCCTGACTGGCCTAATAGGGCCTAGAAATGAGAAAGCAAATGGATAATAAAATAAGAAAAGAAGTAACAGGGTAGGGATAAAGAGAAGTAAAGGAGGGAAAATTCAAACTAGGAAAGGGAACAGAAAAGAACAAAGAGGGGAGAATCAGAGCACTACCTCTGTAATCTAGTTACCTCTGCCCAGATCTCAGTCCAGATGACAGAAAATGTATTGTTTCGCTATTGAGTTACCACTAGGCTAAGCGTAAGATTTACAAACAGTATCTCCCCAACAAATAAAGCCCTTAAACCACAGCTGTGTTTAAGACTTGTTAACTAGAATTTACAACACTTCAACTCTCAGCTTTCTCACCTATCCTCACATGGAAAGATTCCATTCAATTCTAATAGCATAGCATATCTGATGATTTTGTACAATTGCCCAATGTATTAAGATATAGGAATGCATTTCACTGCAGGATTGAACTTGGTCAAATTCTTCTAATCACAGAATTTGGGCACTTCAAACTAATGTTTAAAAATAAGTCAAAGATCAAGCAAGACTATGAACCCTAAAGTAAAATGTATAGCAGGTTACTCAGATGCTTCCTGAATACAACCTAATTTTTCTTCAGGGGCTCTCTATAAATAAAATAATGCAACTCTGTACTTTGCTTACTTATCCTTTATTTGTGTATGTGTGTGTGCACGTGCACGCACACTGGTCCTGGGGCTTGAACTATGGGCCTGGGCACTGTCCCTCAGCTCCTTTTGCTCAAGGCTAGCATTCTACCACAGTGCCACTTTCCTGTCTGGCAGTCTTCAAACCCTGATCCTCAGATACCAGCCTCCAGATTACAGGTGTGAGCCACCAGTGCTTGCACATAGTTTTGTTTTTTTGGGGGGCGGGGGTGGGTGTCGGTCATGGGGCTTGAATTATGAACCTGGGTATTGTCCCTGAGCTCTTCAGCTCAAGGCAAACACTTTACCATTTGAGCCACAGTGCCACTTTCTCCATCTTCTTAACTCTCTCTTCTCTTATAAGCACTAGAACCTTAAAATTTCTAATTTTTTCAAAAGTGAGAAAATCCTTCTGTTGTCCCTAAAATAACTATGTCTTAGTTAAGGTGAGGAACAAAACAAAACAAAACCTAGGTCCCTATCTGCAGGAGAGAGTACTCCAGAAACTAAGGGGTTGTCATGGTTGGCATAGTTATGATCATCAACTTTAGTGCCTTTTGGTCTTTTTTTGTTTTGTTTTGTTTTTTTTGCCTTTTAGTCTTATGTCTTGGATGTAGCTACCTGTTTTCTCACTCTTCCTAATATTCTACCACAAGCTATGCTAGTTGGTTCCCTCCTGTACCTCCCTCTCTTCTCACCACTATATCAATACTTCTCACTTGCACTTAGGATATGTATTTATTGCCCAGGACCTTCCACCAGCAATTCTAAAACTTGAATGTGCCTAAGAATTTATTCACTCATCAAGTATTCTGGAACCCATTATGTGCCTAGATGTTTTTGGATATTTGAGCTATATGTCAGTAAATGAAAGACTCATGAATCATTAAAAAAAAAACAAAACCTTTATATTCTAGTGGGGAACATATGTGACAAATTGGAAGGAAAGAGTAGAACAAGTAAGGAGAAAAACAGTGAGAGAACTGAACTGACATGGCATATATATAGGTACAAGAACCTGTAACTCAAAAGTTACCACCTAAGTCATGCCAAGTGTTTTAATTAGTTTTAACAAGAAGAACTGTGCTACTTTTATGCTGATTTTTCTCCAACTGATTTTATAGTTTATCTTGTTGGCATGAAATTTAAGCCCAAATTTATATTTACAAATGTTAAACTGAACAACAGTAAATTATTATAATGAAAACTGGAGTTCTACCAGTATTCCATTCCTTGAAATGAAAAATCCAAGGACGCCCTCCAGGATATTTTGTTAAACAAAGACAGCAAAACTACATGAAACTGGGGATGTAGTCTTACATAGCACGTGCAGTCTCCTGGGTTCAATCCCCAGCACTCGTGGGAAGGGAGTACAAAACATTGTATTAAGCTGAAGAGGGATCATAGGTATACGTTAGTTTGGTTTTTTTCATACTGTTAATACCATGGGACACAGAGAAAGAAAATAAAATCAGTTAAATATGAGAAGATATAAGGATATATATAGATATGGGGGACAATACTGAATGGGAATATTTAGATTTATCCAAAGTAAATTAAATGTTTTTAAAGACTTAGTTTATTACTAAAATGTACAAAGTTGATCTACCAATTCTACCTTTTTTGGTAGGAAAGGGAGAGATACTCTTCCTACCATACTCCCTACTGGTAGAATAAAAAGGATCACTTAGTCTTTTCTATCTTATAATGCTACTCTAGATTACGGTATATCGTATCTTTTGAACCTATCCCCTGTTTTCAAAGTATGTTCCTCCAGTGTATGATTTTGAAGCAGATCTAACCTAAGTATAAATATGATAAAATATTTAGCCTCATTAGTAATCAAATAAATGAATATTTAAATAGGGAAAAGGGAATAGAGGTGTGGTAGAGTATCAGCCTTGAGAAAAAGCCAAGGAAGAGGGCAAGGCCCTCTTCAAACTCTAGTATCAGAGGCTGGGAAGGTGGCTCAGTGGTAGAGCGCTTGCCTTGAATGCCTGAAGCCCTGGGTTCGATTCCTCAGCACCACATAAGCAAAAAGAAAAAAGCTGGAGTGGCGCTGTGGCTCAAGTGGTAGAGCGCTAGCCTTGAGCTGAAGAGCTGAGGGACAGTGCCCAGGCCCAGAGTTCAGGCCGCATGACCGGACCCAAAAAACAAACAAACTCTAGTATCAGCAGCAAAAGAGGGGGGGGGGAGGGAGGGAAGGAGGGAAAGAAGGAAGAAAAAAAAGGAGAAAGGAAGGGAGGGAGAGAAAGAAAGAAGGAGGAGAAAGGAAAGAGAGAGGAAGGGAGGGAGGGAGGAAAATAAAAGGAAAAAAGGAAGGGAGGGAGGGAGCGAAAAAAGAGAGAAGAGAAGGAAGAAATTCTTCTTATAAAATCAAGATGAGGGCCGGGCGCTGGTGGCTCATGCCTGTAATCCTAGCTACTCAGGAGGCTGAGATCTGAGGATAGCGGTTCAAGGATAGCCCGGGCAGGAAAGACCGTGAGACTCCTATCTCCAATAAAACTACCAGAAAACCGGAGGTGGCGCTGTAGCTCAAGTGGTAGAGCGCTCGCCTTGAGCTGAAGAGCTGAGGGACAGCGCCTAGGCCCAGAGTTCAAGCCCCATGACCGACAAAAAAAAAAAAAATCAGGATGAGTAAAGAGTAATATATAGTTGTAGTAAGGATGAAGCTTTGAGCTGGGCACCAGTAGCTCACAACTCTAATCCTAACTACTCAAGAGGCTGAGATCTGAGGATCATGGTTTAAAGTCAGCCTGGGCAGGAAACTTGTGGGACTCTTATCTCCAATAAACTACTCATAAAAAGCCAGAAATGGGGCTATTGCACAAGTGGTAGAGCACTAGCCTTGAGCACAAAGAGGCCCAGGGCCAGGGATAGCACCTAGGACCAGAGTTCAAGCCCCAGGATGGGGCGGGAGGGAGGGCGGGTGGGGAGGGGGGGAAGGGGGGTAGAAGGGAGTTTTGTAAAAGCACATTCTCCTAGCCTTATCAACAGGAATATAAATTATTATAGCTTGCCTGGAGAGCCATATGATAATATGTAACAAAATTTCCAATGTGATTTAGTAACCAGACTACTGTTTATTGTATGAATGTAATTAGACAATATGAAAAACATGTATATATATTTATTATAGTAACATTTAATAAATTTAAAAATTGTAAAATTCCTCCCATACATGCAGCTGTTTGAAATGATGAATATGAAGCCAGACATGATGGTGCACATCTGAAATCCCAGCACTTGGGAAGGCTAAGGCAGGAGAATTGCCCAGTACAAGGCTTACCTGAACTCCACAGTGAAACACTCTCAAAAACAAGCAAGTGGGAGTGGGAATGTGGCTCAGTGGTAGAGTGCTTGCCTAGCATGCATGAAGTCCCAGTTTTGATTCCTCAGTACCACATAAACAGAAAAGGCTTGAAATATCACTGTGGCTCAAGTGGTAGAGTGCTAGTCTTGAGCAAAAAGCTCAGGGACAGTGCCCAGGCCATGAATTTAAGCTCCAGGACCGGCCCAAAACAAAAACAAAACAAAAAACAAGCAAGCAAGCTAGGTGTGGTGGAGCACATATATTATTCCAGAAACTCAACAGAGGCAGAGGGCTGAGAAGGTGGCTCAGTGGTAGAGTGCTTGCCTTGCATGCATGAGGCCCTGGGTTCGATTCCTCAGCACCACATAAGCAAAAAAGAAAAAAACCGGAAATGGCCCTGTGGCTCAAGTGGTAGAGCACTAGCCTTGAGCTGAAGAGCTGAGGGACAGCGTCCAGGCCCAGAGTTCAGGCCCCACAACCAGACAAAACAACAACAACAACAACAACAAAAAAAAAAAAAACAGAGGCAGAAAGAACAAGAGCTCAAGCCCAATCTGGACTTTACAGTGAGTTGTTCCATGACCGCCTAGGCTTCCTGGTGAAATACTGACTGTAGAAGATCATATATCAAACTTAGGTGTGTAAGAGTAGAAGGTAAGATTGCATAATTTCTACTTTCCAACATGCATTTAAATTTCATTTGTGTAATAAGAGAACTTCTTCCTTGTCTTTCTGAACAATAACAACAACAAACCTAAGAATTGGTCTTAAATTACCATTCTACCATCTAAGAGTCATTCCTTGTTACACGTAGGAAACTGATTCTGAAACTGATTCCACAACACACTGAAGATACCAAAATCTATGGATGCTCATACTTCTTTTATTTAAAAATGGCACAGTAAGAACCTACACACATCCTCC